AATATTATCGTTAGAAACCAATGTTTATAGGTATTTTTCATTATAGCATAATTGGATATATAAACTCGGCAAAATGTTAGATATATAAAATATATATTTATAATTTTAAAAAATAAAATTTTAAATACTTAGACTTACTTTGAGACTAAGATAATTTCCGGCAAAACAAATAATAAAAGTTTTAGTCATTATACCAAGATAACCAACAATGGTTTTTATCAACACAAAAATAACAGTTTTGTTATAAATATACTAATTCAAACAAGAAAAAAGAAAAAGTATTATATATCTTATAATTATTACACATTATTATATAGTTATTATAAAACTTACAATTATCAAGAAGAATCCTAGACCGTCAATGACTAAGGTATTCCAAACGACTTGCATTACACAATAAAGGAGAAAAGTTTCTCGATTTTTTCGGAAAATGAAATAATTCTGTTGTGTCTTCTCGATCAGCATTCTAAATAAGGACACAGTAGATTTATGAAGAAAAGTACTCTTAGAAATACTTCCAAACTCGTGACACATTATATCAATTTGTCCGATTACGTGAAGTAAAGCACCTGGAATATACTTACATTATTAAAAAATTGTAATTATTAGATATGAAAGAGATTCTTGCTATAAAAAATGTGTTTTGAATAAAATGAATAAACATTATATGTATATATATACATATTCTTATACAGTATGTGTTCATCAAGTTATTAAAAAAAGTTTTCTCGTAAAGTTTAACTTTTTTAACACAAGCATTAATTAGATATATTTTATAACTTCTTACGCAGAAATATAACAATTTATATACATCAGTATTGCACAAATTATTTAATGTAAAATTTTAATTCGATAGTATCAATAATTTAATACAACCTTGCATCATAAATTGCTCTGTTACATTAAACCTAATAAATACCAATCTAGTAAATACTAACTAATAGTAACATAGTTTCATAATTTTACATTCAATAATATAAATTTAATATAACATATCTACATAATCATTATACTATCGAATGTGATATTATAATATTAATATTATGTTATTGTTAGTTGGTATTTATTAAGAAATTAGTTAAAAATAAAAATATTATAGGTTAAATTTAAAATGTAAATTTTACTAAAATAAGAATTAATCCATTTAGAGTATAATGCATAAATCCTTGTAATATTACATGTAAAAATATTGTTACAACTAGAAATTCAAACATCGGTGACTGTTGAATTTCAAAAGAAAGTTGTATTTTTATATGACATTTTTTTACATTTACATTATTTTTATACAAATGTAATTTATTAATCGACAGTTATTAATAAGACAGTTGTCAATAAAAAATTAAATTTTAATTTATTGTAAATATTTTTTACTTAATATATTATAATTGCATCAAATAAATATCGCATGTTGATATCACGTATTAATATCAATACATAGCATTTAAAACGGATACATACGATGCCGACGCCTTCATAATCTAAACAAAAATACAAGTTAAAAAATTAGAGACACATATATATGTAATAGTAGATTAAAAAATAATAAGCAAAATATGTATATAGAATTACATATTTTGTGATAATTAAATATTCAAAATATTAAAGAAATTACACGAGTAAATGTTCCTAATGACATATCCATCATTTTTCCTGCAGTAATCGCCAGTCGTTTTTGAGACCTCATTATTATAAATACTATAATTTTATTTTTATTTGACGGCATATCGTACCACAACGATTCGTATATTGCGTTAGCAATTGATTTGCCCTAAAAGTAATGCAAATGCGACGAAATTTTTTGATACCTAAATGTTTAATTTACTTTACAGTAGTTTATCTAATATATTATATTATTGCCAATATTTAAAAAATGTTATACAAATTTGAAAATATTGAAAGAAGTAAAGAAATTATAGCAGAAAAATAGTAAAATTATTTATATTAAATTTGTAATATATTTGTGTTGAAACGTCATGTTACTATACACTGAAGAAATAAATATTATATGCAATAAAAAATATTTTTATTAAAAAATTGATTTTCTTAAGTGATATCTTGAGTATTGCCAAATATCAAATGTTTTTTTTTTTTTTTTTTTTTTTTTTTTTTAAAAAAAAACAACATTGTACTTTTATCATTAGTCAATGCAATTATGTGATTAAGCTTATGTATGGATGATTTACTATGTGTTGAATATTTACCTTTAAACTAAGATATTCTCCAGCAAAGCAAATGACAAAAGCTTCAATCATTACAACGAAGTAACCAGAAATAGTTTTCACTAACACGAAAATCCCAGTTTCGTTATAAATAGACTAATTTAACGAATTATAAAAAGAAAAATGAATACATATAATTAATCATTAGGCGTGTGTATTTTAATACTTACAATTACGATAATAAATCCTAAACAGCAAATAACTAACGTATTCCAAACAACTTGCATTAATGCAATAAAGGAGAAAAGTGTCTCAATATTGTTAGAAAATATAATAATTTTATTATGCTTCTCAATCAGCAATCCAAAAAAAGACTCAAAAGATCCATGAAGAAGAGATCCCTTAGAAATATTTCTGAATTCATGACACATTATATCAATTTGTCCGCTTATATGAAGTACCTAAAATACACTTACATTCTCACAAAAAATCATAATTGTTATAAAATAAAGAGATTTTTTGAAGAAAACATTTTAAATATAACAATTCGATAAAAAAATGATATTATTAAAATAATATTATTATGTAATATAAGTTTAATTACAAACAAATTTATTGTGTAGATATTATTGTAAAATTTTTCTAACATTGACATTAATACTTTAATATATGACAGTTTTATATATATGACAGTTCGTCAACAAAACTGAAAAAAAAATTATACAATATATATAAAGAAAAATTTTAATGTAAATGTGCTCACAATTATACGTTACAAATTAATTAATTACATAATATACATTAAAAAATGTACATATACGAATATGTGTTACCAAAGTCAACATTAATCCATTTAAAATAGCGATTGTGCATGCATGTATTGCCACATGTAAAAATAATGTTACAACGAGAAACTCAAACGTCGGCGATTGTTGAGTTTCAAAGGGAAATTGTATTTTTATAGGAAGCTGCCGTAAAGTATCATTTTGATTTTCAGTAAAAAGTACAAAACGAATTACGTAATCGCCTAAGAGATAAAGTACTGCGACGACCGCATTAACACTCAGTAAAATGTTAGATGTAAAACGTGCTACATTCGCTTTGATTGTCATCAAATACAAATGCTTATCTTCATTGGTGCACTCGTGCCAATCATTATCCATAGCAGCCAGGATTTTATGAAAAACTCTGCAATATGTTACTCTAATTTGTGATATGTTTCAGATAGTCACATCATATTTTCTTTTATGAGACCAGGGAAAAAATCTTTCATATATAATTATTTACAATTATATATAATTATATATAAAATATGTCCAAATATATAACATTTTTTTCCGAGGACAATCAATGTTGTACATATGTTTTAATATTTAAATTAAGATTTAGATTAATAATCACTTTCACTTAGAAAAAATGCACTTAGAGGACAAATGTTAAGAAACTAAAGGAGAATCTTGTTTCTTGATTATAGTTATATACTCGTATAGACTTGCAGAGCATAGAGACAAAGTTGAACCAATACATAATACATAATATCTTACCGACGATGTGCCCACAGACTGGTTAATTTAAATAACGTCAAACTATAATCTAAAGCCACAATCAGACCGTCAACAAGATTTGACAACTCGCTCATCTTTAAATGATCGAATATGTACAAATATTGGAAGTACTGTATAATCAGCATGCTCAACATAAAACTTAGCCAATGAATGGTAGAATATGAATCACCTGGCCACATGCCAAGAAATCGGAGACCAACTTTTAATGCTGGACTAATACTAGATGTGATCATTTGTCAAAGATTTTAAAAACGTGAGGAAATAAAGATTAGTTTCGGCACATTTGTTCTGTATTCTAGTTGAGAAGGAAATGAGAGAGCACTGTCCATTTCTCCAAGTGTATCCCCATATGGTGCGTCCCCACTCAATAAATATGGATCAATCGCTATTATACGATGCACAGTATGACGATGAGACGAAATAGACTTTATAATTTTCTTATACTATAATTCCATAAATAGTCTAATAACGTATAATACTTTGACCGTAAAGTAATAAAGATATTGTACAACTAAGATAATACAAAAAAAAAGATTGTTTACTGCGAGACCGTTACCTTTTTTGCATTTTTTTTCTCTAAAATGCAAAATTATAAGCAAGAAGGAAATGTCCAGATGTTTACCATAATTTCTACCTTTCATGAAGGTATTATTAAGTGCATGACATGCACTTAATATAATACGTGCTTGCACGTATTATATTAGGTATTCTAAGCAAACGGAAATAAATTGCGTTCATTTAATTGATCTTCCAGTCTTTGAAGAAATATGATGAGGGGAAAACAACAGAACTTTCTAACTGAATATGAAGTGACTAGTAATTTCCATTAATAATTCGAAAAATGTTTTTCGCATTAAACTTGCATATTGAACAAATAATTGCAATTCGAAATAATATAGTCGTTTAGTTACAAATAATCCAATAAAATACGAATTAAATATCTTATAATAAAAAGTTATCAATTATAGAGTTAAAGTAGCCTGAATACTATTACAACCTGCATATTAATGCAAGCTCATTTTGTTAAATAAGAATGAACAATATAATAATAATAATAATGATAATACACAAAATATAAAAGATTATTTGCATTTACATTAATAACTATTTTCTTAAATGCAATTTAAATGTATTATTTATTAATTAATAATTAATAAGTAACAGACATCAGCTTAATTTGATAATGTAAGTTCTAATCTATTACAATTTTTTTAATCTATTTTAAATTCCCTATAGTATAATTTCAGCAGATAGAGATCGTACTACTTTGTTGATGTCAATACATAGCAATCAAAACAGATACGTATGATGCTGACGCCTTCATAATCTAAAAAATTCAAGTTAAAAAATTAAACTGGATTTACAAATTATATTTATACATAATAGACACATAAATCAAAATAAATTAAATAAAATAGAATTAATCATCAGACATTTAAAAAATTAAAAGATTACAGTCGTAAAAGTTTCAAATGACATATCCATCATTTTCCCTGCCGTAATCGCCAGTCGCTTTTGTGATCTCATTATTATAAACACTATAATTTTACCGTAACTTGACGGCATATCATACCACATTGTTCCATATGTTGCATTAGCAATTAATTTGCCCTAAAATGCAAATATAATAGCTAATCTTGTATAATTAATTTTGACATAAAAGAATTTTCTATCATCTATATTGTGAAAACATTATAATCAAAATATTCGAAATTCTTTAATAATATCATTTTTACTTTTATTTTATTTAAAAAAAACTTTATAATAAATAATTAGCTGATAAACATTTTATTATTTTAGATAACTTTTGTTATAACAGATACAAATTGCCATTACCTTAAAAAATGTATATCACGTACTTACAAAATAAAATTTTCTAAAATAAAAAATATTCTTATTTCAGAAATCAATTGTTTTATATAATGTTTTAAGTACGACAAAATTACATTTTTATTACAAAGTAATGTCTATTATAGTATTCATTATTATATAGTTATGTTATGTTTAAAATATATTATACATTTACTGATAATCATTCTTGCTTACCTTGTAACTAAGATATTCTCCGGCAAAACAAATAATGAAAGCTTCCAACGTTATGGCAAGATAAGCAAAAACAGCTTTCATTAATGCAAAAACACCAGTTTTATTATGAATAGACTATATTATTAAGTAACAAAAATGAGTGAAAAATATGATAAGAATCACAACGTTATACAATTATTATAGTACTTACCATTATGAAGGCAAATCCTAGACAACAAATAACTAAGGTATTCCAAACAACTTGCATTAATGCGATAAAAGAGAAGAGCCGTTCCATGTTATCGGAAAATGAAATGACTCTTTTGTGTTTCTCGACCAGCATCCCCAACGATGATATGGAAGATCCATAACAAAGATTATTTTTAGAAAAATTTTTCAATTCTTTACAAATAATATCAATTTGTCCACTTATATGGAGTGCCTAAAATATACTTAAATATTTACAAAAATTACAATTATTGCATATAACAAATTTTTTTCTATTTTAAATACTTCTTGTACAAAATAAGTATTGTAATCGTATATGTATAATAAATTTTATTTATTTTATTTACTCTCAAAAATATTTAATATGATATTAATTATATTTTAAAGATACTACAGAAATGCATCATGTATGTTTGATTTATATCACATAAAGTAAAATTGCTTTATGAAAAATTTTTATGCAAAAACGCTCATAAATTTATGTAAATCGTTTCGTTTTATGAGAAATTGAAAATAAGAAATATACAATATGAGTTACCAAAGAAAAGATCAATCCATTTAGAATAGTGTTCGTCCATACTTGTAATATTGTATGTAAAAATATTGTTACAGCAATAAATTCAAATACAGGCGATTGTTCGATTTTAAACGGAAATTGTATTTTTATAGGAAGTTGCCGCCCAGTATTATTATAATTTTCATTTAGAAATACGGAACGAATTACATAATCGCCTAAGAGATAAATTACTGTAATAATCGCATTACAACTTAATAAAGCGTTAGAAAAGAAATGCGCTATATTAGCTTTAGTTGTCATCGTATACAAATGTTGATCAATGTTAATACACTCGTGCCAGTTATTATCCATGTCCTTCAAAATTTTATGAAGAACTCTGTAATATATACATTACTTTAATATGTTGTTTCTAATCAGATGTTTCAGATATGAATAATATATTTTTTTTCTTCAATTAACGTTGTATACTTCAATGTTTAAATTAAAATTCCAAATAACAAGGTGACATTTTAATGATGATTTATTATTGATGACATTAAAAAAAGTTCCAATTAGAAAAAATTAGATCAATATGTTAGAAAACTGAAAAATAAATATATTTCTCGAATACGGCGATTAAGTAAAACTACAATATTACATAGTATACTATAGTATCTTACCGACGATGTGCCCATAGACCAGTCAATTTAAAAAACGTCAAACTGTAATCCAGAGTAATAATCGAACTGTCAACAAGATTTGATAATTCGCTGAACTTCAGATGATCGAAAATGTACAAATACTGGAAGTATTGTATAATCAACATACTCGACATAAAACCTAAGCAATAAATGGTAGAATACGGTATACCCGGCCAAAAGCCAAAAAAACAAAGACCAAACTTCAGTGCTGGGCTGATAGTACTTGTAATTGTCATTTGCCAATATAAATTTGAGAAAATAATCACTTGTTACATTTGTTCAATACTCTGGTTAATAAGGAAATACAAGTGCACCGTCTAATTTTTCAAGTGCATCCCCACACGATGTGACCCCACTCCGGTGAATACGGATCAATCGCTATCATATGTCGCACAGTACAATAATAAGACAAGACAGAACTCATTATTTGCATGAACATCCTATAATCTTATTAGCAATTTAATGTCGTGTACTTTGATCAAATTATACTACTAAAGTAAAAAAAAAGTAACTCTCTGAGGAATAGCTTTTTTTCAAACTTGTATCTTTAGCAATATTATCAATAAATAAACGTCTACAATTCCCATCAACTGCAAAAATTATTAAATGTATTATTATATTATGATTGTGACTATACATTAAAGTTTCTGACAAATAGAAATTGATAGTATTCATGTCATTCAACTCAAAAGTAATAACGTAATCGATGAACAAAGGAACTGTACAATTGGAGATATAATGACTGTAAATATCCTCTAATAATTCCAGAAAAGTAATATTATACTAAAGACTTGCAAAGAAGAGAAATTTCAAAAGTAAAAGCTTTGAATATAAGATATTGTCAATACATTTAATAAATCAAATACGAAATGTGTGCATACAAATTGAATATTTTCTGATTTATATTAAAAAACAATGATCAAAAATATATAATATAATATATATACATCATTTTTAAATAAGAATAAGTAACAGTATTCGAAGGAAAAAAAATTATTTTCAATTAAATTATTTTTATATAATAAATACAACTTATATAGTACATTATAATTAATAGTGTAAAAAGTTAAATATAATAATTCTTAATTTAATTTCTATATACTTTTTAACATTATTGCTTATATAAATTTCAGAAGGTAAAAAAGTTCTTGATGATATCAATATATAGCATTCAAAACAGATATATAAGACGCTGATGCTTTCATGATCTAAAAGAATAGAAATTATAAAAAATTATAAAAAAGTGTTTTAGAAAATGTTAATGATAAGCGAAATAAAAGATGCACAAATTATTTAGAAGGTTACATTCGTAAAAGTATCAAATGACATATCTATCATTTTTCCTGCCGTAATCGTCAATCGCTTCTGAGACCTCATTATTATAAACATTATAATTTTTTCTGTATTTAATGGCATATTGTACCACAATGTTTCATATGTTGCATTTGCAATTAATTTACCCTGAAAAAATAATACAAATAATTCCAAATCGATCTCTTTTATTCAACTTATTTGACAGAAAACATTTTCAATATTACTGTGACGTATTACAAGAATATTTGTTATAACAATATTAAAATTTTTTATACAATTTTTTTATATTATTAAAATATAGAAGATCTTCTATAATTATAATAAAAAATTTATTGATAAAATACAACTTAGTAGTACATTATATTGCAGATTATATTTCAGTAATTTTTTATAAAAAATAAATCATTATTTATAACACTACAATATATTATAAAGAAATACTTTTTTATTATAAAAAAATATTTATAAAATAAAAAAGTATTATTTACAAGTTTTATTTTCTTAAATGACAATATATACATATTGCAGCACATTAAAATGTTTTTGTTAGAAAACAATATTGTACATCTTTATTATAAAAATAACACAATTATGTTGTGTAAAAGAATAATGTATTTTTGATTAACGACTTTTAAATACGCACCTTGAGGCTAAGATGTTCTCCAGCAAAGCAAATGATAAAGGCTTCAATCGTTATGACGCAATAAGCAAAAAGGGTTTTCACTAATACGAAAACATCAGCTTCATTATGCATAGACTAGTTTGACAAATAATAAAGAAGATAAAAAGTATATACAATACAATTCCAATAATCATGTATTTATTAGTACTTACCACTATGAAGACAAATCCTATACTGCAAATGACTAACGTATTCCACACAACTTGCATCAATGCGATAAAGGAGAAGAGTTGTTCGATGTTCTTGGAAAATGAAATTATTCTATTATGCCTCTCAATTAACATTCCAAATAAAGGTACAAACGACCCATGAAGAAGAGTGTTTTCGGAAATATTTTTAAACTCTTGACATATTATATCAATTTGTCCGCTCGCGTGTAGAACCTAAAATATACTTCAATTTTTATAAAAATTATAGTTATTACATGTAAGAAAAATTGTTACTATAAAAAATATATATAAATATTTCAAGTATATAGATATAAGATACTTTTATATATTACATTTTAATAAAATTCTTTTAAAATATTTATACAATGACATTTTATTTTAAAATTTCTTATAAACAGAAATGGCATATGTATAATATACATATGACTAAAATTAACAAATTAAAAACAAAAAATTTGATATAACAGATTTTGCTGTAATTTATAACGCAATGTTATAACATTGCCTTATAAATTACTTTGACATTAAGACACAAACAAATAGAAAACACAGGTAAATATATATAAAATATAAATTACCAAAGTAAAGATTAATCCATTTAGAATAGCGACCGTGCATACGTGTAACATTACATGTAAAAATATTGTTATAGCAAGAAGTTCAAACATCGGCGACTGTTGAGTTTCAAAAGGAAATTGCAACTTTAATGGAAGCTGTCTTGAAGTGTCATTATAATCTTCGATTAGAAATACGAAACGAATTGCGTATTCGCCTAAGAGGTAAAGTGCAGCAACGATGGCAGTAAAGCTCAATAAAGCATTAGATATTAAATGCGATATTTTCGCTTTGATTGTCATTATATACAAATGATTGATATTGATGCACTCACGCCAATCATTATCCATAGTAGCAAGAATTTTATGAAGACCTCTACAATATTTTATTTATTTCATCATATGTTTTAGATAAAAATATTATATTTGCGAGGAATCATTGATATTATATGCATTAATGTTTTAAATAACATTTAGATTGTACTATGCAATTTTATATTAAAAAGTATCGCATTCGAAATATATACAATACCAAAGAAGGATCTCATTTTTTTAATACGAGTAGTTAAGCAAATTGTACTATTGCTGCTGTATAATAACAAATACCGTGCTGATCCAGTTTCAAATAGCTTAACGACCACGAAGTGTGCGTCATTAATAACCAGTATATTTTTTACGTTTGTTATATTTGTTAAATAATATATATAGTAATGATTTTAAAATTACAAAAATTATCGTTATAATAATACAATATACATTATACATATATACATTATAATGTATACGTATATAATGTATATATATATATATATATATATATATATATATAAT